GACCAATGGTAGAAAATGGAAAATTAAGAGTTTATGGCTTCAAATTGGTTGAAGGAAATAATCGTTTTGTAATAATTCGATTTCTGGTACAGAAGATCGTCTACAAGACGCAACTGTAGAGCATACTCTCGTTATATTACAAATCGAGCTCTAGAGGGTAGAGACTCGTGCTGATAACGTGTTATAAAACTAGAGAGAAAGAGAGATAATAGAGAAAATATTTCTCTTAGGTACAATTTTCATTATAACTGAAGCTCCTATTTATAAGAAACTTCTGATGGCACAACCGTAATAATACAATTACATCGGGGGCAAAATAGTCATTCACATATATTATTTTATAACAAATAATTCATAACACAAATAACTATATGCAAAACATGGTGATTAATTGACAGGTATAAAATAAAAGCTCTCGTTGATAATAAACACTAGTTGCAACCCGTGCATTTGCACGGAAAGCTAATCAATTTTTTTTTTCATTTTCACGGAATGCTATATGATAGATGAAAAAAATAAAATAAATTGTAAACAATAGTAAAAATATTAACATAATCACTTGATAAAAGCCCAAGAAAAAAATCTAAATATTATTAAACACTTCTTTATATACAACGTTCATGATTTTATTATCGCTAGAATCTCCATCAACACAAATCAGAATCTTCAAACCCCTCCGACTCGTTACTCTAGAAAGTGTCACGTATAATTGCTCATGACTAAATACAAGGCTCTTCAATAGTAAGCCGACGTGCGACAGTGACTGACTTTGACTCTTATTGATTGTTATAGCATATGAAACTATAAGACGGAACTGTTTGTGCTGAAACTTGAACGGTATCCTCAATCGGATGATATGATTGTGAGCCTATGAATAAGAACCTTATCACCAGCTCTGGCACCGGTTAAAATTCTACATTATATGATATGGCTTCAAGTGCAATCTATGATTGGGAAGTCCCGAGCACTTAATTCCATTGAGAAATTTAGGAGTGTGAAGATCGTGAAGATAGTCATATCCAGCATCTGACTTGCAAGCGGTGTCTGAACTCAAATAAGTTCTTCCCTCAAAGGAGTTCAATGAGCTCATGTATTCATTGACGGACTCAACAACATCAAGGATGAGAGCAAGTATAGCTCTGACCTTCAGTTAGCTAAGATCGTCGCCCGAACTCCTAAACATTGGGTACGTACTCTCAACAATAGAAGCTATAGGATCACCTTGTGATTTCAGAAGAATATCGTCAGGAATGTCGATGTCATCACATCCATCGTTCGGTCCACCGACAGTACCGTTGCCAATGCTTGCAAGCCACTCCGAGAAAATCCTCAACTCATCGTACTCACCACCCCTACCAAGGCTTCGAAGCCTCATATTCTGAGTAAGTCTCAGAACGATACAGTCCCTCCATAAGCTGGACGAATTGATGGTCGCATTCACTATGTCACTTCGAGTGCCTTTAGGCACAACCGGGAGTATCTGTCTTAAATCGCCACCAAATACAACAGACTTGCCGCCAAAAGGGAGATTTTTCCTCGATGGATCCACTACTTGCATTAAGGCTCATAAGGTGTTGTCAACATCCTAAAAGCAATATTTATTCATCATCGGGGCTTCGTCCCAAATGATCAACCGACAACGTATAATAAGTTCGGCCAATGGACTCTGCTGGCTAATGTCACATGTCGACCGTTTAGTTGGGTTTATCGGGATTCTGAATTGTGAATGGGTAGTCCGTCCACCGGGAAGCAAAAGTGACGTGATACCGTTCGATGCAACGTTCAACACAATTTCACCCTTCGACCTCAAACCAGAAGACAACGCCCCCCCAGATATATGTTTTACCGGTGCCGCCGTAACCATAAACAAAAAAGATGCTTCCGTGGCTATAGTAGACCGAGTCCATAATCGAGCCATAAACATTGCGCTGCTCATCAGTCATGTTGGCAACCGATTCCTCATTCTCAATCAATAGTGCACGACGATCGTAATTCAACTCGTCCATCACAAGTCTGTTCGTGGATGCCTCATTACGATCGAGAACAGGAAACGACATTGTACCATAATCACGTAAACTCATCCCACGTCGCCGCAAAATCTTTTCGACCTCTGCCAAGCGAGATTCTTTATTTCCTCATCGCTCATGACCAATTCTGAAAAAATTAATAAGAGACACATATAAATATAATTTCTACCTTGACATCATGAAAAAAAAACTCTAGGCTTGATTCTTCCTTTTTATTTTTTTTAGGATAAAACCGAATCAATTTCAAAATGGTTGTTTTGTTCTTGCTCTTAGCAAAAAAAAGTAAGATTATCAAAGTAAGTAGTCATTTGGAGCTTAGTTGTGTGTTTTATGTGACTGTATTTCTGAAATGAAGGTGAATATAATTTTTGAACTGAAGTGATTATAATTTGATTAATGGTTATGTATTTATAGGGGGAAAACATGTGTATTAATTCCATGATTGATGCTGAAAATTGTTGTGTATTATTCAGTAAAAATTATTTAATTACATCAAATTAATGATAATTGTGTGTATAAACTATATTTAATTACAAAAATTTCATGATTGATGCTCACGAATAATTGAAAATGATTGTTTGAGAATCTTTGTATAATATGATTTTTTATTTTTTTATTTTTTCTTCCTGATTTTACATTAATTGTTTTAATTTCGTAATTATGTTGTATTTTAATTGCCTTATTTAATGAGATATTATGTACCTTGTATAGGGTCAAAGCGTTCATTTTTATTTTGTAATGTAAATTAATTGATATTATAAATTTCACAATTATTAATGTTTTCTCTTTTTCTATATTGCAGGCAGGATTTTACAATAAAAGAGCTGGAATGTTAAATTTCTTTTATTGTGTTTACTGGATTTTAATTTGATATGTAATTTATTTTTTGTGTATTGACTAATTATAAATTTTAGGAATTTGTAATTTTTTTTTCGACAAAAAATATGTTTAAATGCATATCATGTCACCAATTAAAATTGAAACAACACTCCAAAAAATTACACATATACAACATCTAAAGACTTTTAAAACTTATTAGTTTTAGTGATTATAAAAGCTAATTAAAGCATGATAAATAATTCATTAGTGATTATAGAAGGTAATTAAAGCATGATAAATAATTCATTTGTAACCGATCTTGGGGGAGAAATGTGAATAGTGCCACTTAGGTATAATTTGATAGGTTTTATTTATTAGGTAAAATTAATTGGTTAGCTAGCAATTATATATACTAGTAGATATCATGTGCACAGATGTACATAAACTATTATAAGTAATATGCGAGTATTTAATATTAAAATTCTAGATAATGAACATATTACATTTTCAAAAATTTGATCATTAGGAAAAATAAATTAACGATTTTATTATTATGAACAATTATTTATTATCATTAGAGAATAACAGTCTGATTATTATTATTATTACAAAATAATTGTTTATAAGCTTCTAAATTTGTTTGACTATGCTATTAAAACAATTTATTAATTGTTTTTAAAGAAATTTTTTTCATGAGATACAAAAGAAAAGATAACATTGATGTTAAAATAAATAACTTCAAACAATTGTTTATAATTATGTAATTTATTTTTATTGTGAATTATTATTAGTTGGTATTAACAATAACTATTATATAATATAATAGAAACATACATGATTATACTCAATAGGATTTATTAATATGAGAAGTAAAAAATTATTAATGATAAATTTTGTAACAGAAAATGGAAAAAAAAAAATTTAGAGATGTTATTAAATAGGTTTTATTAAATACTACATGTTAGCAATTATATATATATATATAGATTAAGAGTTAGAATATTAAAAATAACCATAAAGTTACATTGAAACATATAAAATAACAAGTACCATGAAATAATTATTCCCATGGACCAAGGACAAATGCCATATAATAATGAGGAATATTTCAAAAGTCAGTAATGGCAGGCCCCAAATTCAACTCTTTTGAAAATATCTTATCCTCTTTTTTTTTTTTAAAAAAAAAAAATTATTACAAAAGATCATTAATTAGGTTGACTTAGCATGTTGTACTTGTTTTACAAGAAATATATTTTAAAAATCAACATAAATAAAACTATAAAATTAGATAGTACAAGTATATATTCCAACCCACGTCTACCGGAATATTTTCACTTTGTACTCGAATGTCTTTACCGACATGGAGGGAAAAGCCCTCGAAAATGGCTTTCGTGTCCCACGACATTTTGATTTTCGGTTCCACTTTAGTTTGAGTTTAGCAACTGAACTGTGGTTTGCCGCTCATCACTTTGATTAGCGAGTGAGGGACCGGATTGTGGTTACCCACTTTGCTCTTGTGTGCCGCGAGACGGTCGATGTAAAATCAGTTTTGATCTATAAAATTTATTTACTTATATAAAAAAAAGGTATGTAAACTTATTAGCTAGCTGTACCCAACAAAATATCTAATGACCAGGAAATATTATGATCTCGTTATGGACTATTCCGTTAATTATTTTAACCGTTAGATCATCTATCTTATATTAACTATATTTGTATCCAACAGTTAGAACTCTCGACGAGATGGTTCTGTAAAGGTTAGATGATCTAACGGTTAAAGCAGCCCATAAAATGGTAGATGAATGGTTAAAACATGCGACAAGAGGGTTTCGTTACGAGATCATAACATTTGCGAGGAAAATTAATTTTTAAATATAGAAAATCCAAACACAAACACACATAAAAAAAAAAAAAAAGAAGTTCTTTTTCTTTTTTCGAAGTGTTTTCCTTGTTCAAGGAGAACCAAAAATCGGTATAAAAATCCCAGCGTACCTCAAATACTGATTCACCCTGCGAGAGGTCGATTTGATCCCACCTTCTTCATTCAATTCTAGGGTTTGTCGTTCGATTTCTTTCTTATTGGTTTTCTCGTATTCAAGGTTTCCGAATTTTGTCCGGACGCAAACCCTCGGATTGTTCTGAAATTACAAAGGGATGTTGGGCTTGAATTTGTCGGACGAGCTGCTGGGGACCGTGGCGCCGATAATCGTGTACTGGGTGTATTCGGGATTGTACGTATTGCTGGGCTCGCTCGATATTTACAGGCTGCACACGAGGAAGGATGAAGATGAGAAGAATTTGGTCTCAAAGAGGGAGGTCATTAAAGGGGTGCTCCTCCAGCAGGCGGTTCAGGCTGTTGTGGCCACAATACTGTTCGCTGTAAGCTTTTTCCCTTTTTTATTCATTGGATTTTAATTCTCGTTTGTTTGTAAAGTTGAATTTTTTTTTTGGGCTTTGTGGATCATTTGTGTTGTATGTTTTGGCTATGGATGCGTATTTTTGTTTTTCGAGAGGATGGGCATATGGGTTTTTGTGTGTGTGTTGGTTTTATTTTCGTGTGGTTTTTGAAAAATTTGTTCTATCCCTTTGGAAGTTGTGCTTGATCGAGGGGGTGATGTGTGTAGTAAAAGAGATTATGTCATTTTTTGTTCACTAGTGGGTGGTATGGTACACCGTTCGAAGTGAAATGGTATTCGAATCTGTCTATAGTGACATGTGACTTTTATGGTATGCTTCTTGTCTCCAGAAGCCCTTGTGGGTTTTTGTGTGTGTGTGTGTATGTGTGTGTGTGTGTGTTGGTTCTACTTTCGTGTGGTATTTTGAAAACTTTGCGTGATTACCTTTGGTAGTTGTGATTGATCAAGGGGATGATGCGTGTATAGTATCTCGAGTGGGTGGTATAGTATCTCGTTGTAAGTAATTTTGTATTCAAATCTGTCTATAGGACATGTGGCTTCATGGTATGCTTCTTGTCGAGTCTGCAGAAGCCTTGAATATTTGGACAGTAAATAAAAGGTCCTGCTCAATTGAGTTGTCTTCTTGCTTTTTTTGGACAGTAAATAAAAGGTCCTGCTTAATCGAGTTGTCTTCTTGCTTTTTTTCGGAGTAAAGGAGGGTATGATAAGGTTCTAGTCTCCGTGCCTAATCTGTATGATTCTGTTTCTACGTTAAATGCCCTTAATTTGATGTCGATATATGTGATCTAGACACTATGAGCTATGTTTAGAAATTGTCTTTACAAGCAATTTCCAAAATGCAAAAAGCTGTTTGGCTTCAGTAATGTGGTCTTAAAATCCCACGTAAAGTTTTAGAATTAGATATTAAGATATCAGCTGGAAAATACCCTTGTGTGATCATGCTAATACTTGGAACATAGAATCTTCTTGTCGTTACTAGCAAGGTTGGTAATTTGCAGCAAGTGTTCTTTACAAACTCTAGAAGTTTTAAGACTGCGAGTCTGGAATTTGGCTACTATTAGGGGACTGGACACTTGTTAGGACTTAAAGCCATGTACTTTTTTTATGATTTAGTTAATAAATTTTGTTCATTTGTCGTGTTCTGTTTGATTCTTGGTCCCGTTGTTTTTTGTTTTTGCTGCCGACATGAATACGTCAAATGCCTTACCTTTATGGAAATTTCTAATTTTTATTACTCTGATTTGGCAATTAATGTTCACAAAAGTTTCGGTATGTTTTCACACAATAAAACCTTGGGGCAAGAAAATTGCCAACTGTGCTTGACCCACCTTTTTTAAGGTTAACACGATTAATGGTTTCTCTTTTCTTCCAAGTCCTTTTTTACTGTTTGCACGTTAATGCTACCATGTGCCAATGAAGGCGTGATTGTACTTTATTAATGTACTCGCTGATCAGCCTTTTCTGCATGGTCATTATTCTTATTGATTCTTCAACTCATTTTTTTCTATTAGCATATGCAATACGATTAACAACTAAATCGTAACTTAACCAACTTGTCATGCTGTAAGTTGAATTGGTTAATTGTAATGTTAATAGAAACAACAGTTTTTTCTCGAAGATTGCTATCTTATCACAATCTGGATTGCTTGTTAACATGCCTCTGGGTTTTATTTTAGTCATAAAATCATAGAAAAAAAAGGATATACCATTACCTGGTTGTATTTTGTCTAACTTGGGTCCTTGGAAAAGTTTCCTCTTTCTGCTTTGGTTTTGGCCCACCGCCCACAGAATCTCGTCACTCGTAATATTAACATAAAATGTGTCATTCATCTGTTTATATTTACAGTTTTTGCTGCAAGTTTGGGGAACAAGAAAAAATTGAACCACGGTTTTCGTGAACACGTCATGTCAGGTTGTGCCATGCAATGCGTTTATACTGACATCTCAAGATTTGATTATCCGGACTTGGTCATTTATAGCTTATTTGGTTATCTTATAAGCTTCCTATATCCAAATAAGCTTTGTTTGTTTATCTCATAAGCTTCTTTGGGTAGCTTTCAAATAAGCTCGTTGAAATTTATATTACAACAACTAATTTTACTCAAAACGTTTATTATATAAGCTAGCTTTTCAACTATAAGCTCGAAAATCACGTATAAGCAGTTAGCTTTTCAGCTATAAACTAGTTTTACCAAACATAGCCTGAGCCTAAGTTTGGAGGTATCTATTTTGGTTACTACCATTGACACTAAAGGTTCAGTGATGGCAACTCGGAATATCTCATCATTTTCATCATAATATTACACTCAAGACAAGTATACAAATTCGTGTATTTCACACAGAAGCGAACTAAACTCACCTCTTACATTTTCAGGTCACAAGCCCCGACTCGAACCACCCGACTCAAACACAGGAGCCGACTTCTCCTTCCCTAATCGTGCTCGCTCGCCAATTCCTTGTGGCCATGATAGTCCTCGACACGTGGCAGTACTTCATGCATCGATACATGCACCACAACAAGTTCTTGTACCGCCACATACACTCTCAACACCATCGACTCATTGTACCTTACGCATTCGGCGCTCTCTACAACCACCCGATCGAGGGCCTCCTTCTCGACACTTGCGGTGGGGCCCTCGCCTTTCTGGTCTCGGGCATGTCCCCACGAGCCTCGATTTTCTTCTTCTCGTTCGCGACTCTCAAGACGGTAGACGATCATTGTGGCCTGTGGCTCCCCGGGAACATTTTCCACTTCTTCTTTAGTAATAACTCGGCCTACCACGATATTCACCACCAGCTTTATGGGAATAAATATAATTTTTCGCAGCCGTTTTTCGTGATGTGGGACCGGATATTGGGGACTTATATGCCGTATTCTCTCGAGATGAGGGGTAAGGGCGGGTTTGAGGCCCGGCCAACTAAGGACTGCACGAGGAAGAACGAGTGAGAGTGAGGGTTCGTTTTGTCGGTTGCTGTGTGTGTGCCTGTAAAAGAGTGGTGTGGTGTACTTTGTGTGTATCATTATAGTTTTTTTTTTTTTTGGCTAATTAAATGTTTTAATCTTTAGTGTTTTTTCTGTTTTATGTATTCCCTTTCCAGAGTATATATGTATACTGGGGTGGGATAAGATGAGATGACCTTTAAGTTTTTTGTTTTTGTTTTTTTTTTCCTAAGTTACCTCTTCTTGATATAAGCATTCTTAAGGAATGATGCAAGTTGGAAGGTTTTTTTTTCCAAGGCTGGTTCCTTTCATGTTCACTTCAATATTATTATTGCATCATTTTTTTTTTTGTGAGGATTGTTGTTAGAGGAATGAGAGATTTCTTGTTTAAAGTCATGTTCAAATTCATGTTTGGTTACATTCTATTGAATGAATGACGCGTATGGCGTATCCATGGATCATAAGGAAAGGTCCTAACCCAGAAATGCACCTAAGCATTAGTCTTCTTCAAGGTAATTTGATACTCACTAGTAGGCACGCTACACATTTTGTCGTCGTTGTTGTCAACGTGTTTTTCCTCCATGCTACTCCGAGCCAATGTTCTGGCTTTTAACATCTTTGTCTTTCTCTACATCATTCCTCGTGTTCCCCCTATTTTATCTCATCATTTTCTACTAAAATGTGTTGTAATTTGTAGTTTGATTGTCTTCCATCGGTGCTTTCGCGAGTACAATTTTTCTTGTGTTGTTTACGTGATGGAGACGTCAGTGAGGCACTCAACTCGAGCCCAGACAAAGCCACATGGGTTTCAATTTGTTTTTTCGCCATGGATTTGGCTTGAAACGAGATTTGAGTGACGTTGAGGGAATGCAGCGAAGTGCGTGGGTGGTGAAGTCGAAGGAAATGATGATTTTGACGTTGTTTTGGATCTTGAGGAGCTCGTGGATTTGTTATTTTTTTTATCAGCAGAGGGTGTGGTTGAGGGTATTTTGCTTTCTGAGATTTTTTATCACATATTTTAAGCAAACTATATATTGTTATTTAAGAGGAAACCTGTAAATCCATATCTATATCGATGTATTACTATGGATAACCTTTTTTTGTCTTTTGAATTAGTAAATAAGTAAATATTAGGATCATATATATAGACAAAGTCCATTGTTTTTTTTTTTTTTTTGGGTACAATAAAGAGGCTAAAAGCCTAGGCTAGAACTTGTCGTGGGTGAGACACTCCCATACAATCATGCGCAAGCCAAACTGCCACTCCAGAGGGAGGTGAAAGAAGTCGCTGCAGGCCAATCGATTCGGAATTTGCCAAACTCGCAAGAAAAAGTCCATTGTTAAATCAACTTTGTAATGAATTAAATTGACTTCATTCGCGCATGTGCGCGTGTACAAAAGCATTAGTTAACCTAACAAACATGTTGGTTAATAATTTAAACGTTATAGTCCTATCACGAGAGCTGCAAACGAGTCGAGTCGAGTCAAGATTGGCTTTATCGAGCATGATTGGTTCTTTTTTTAGCTGCTCGTGCTCGAGATCGTCGAGCTCACTCGATAAAAAAGTACAATCGCTCGAGCACGAAGCTCGGCTTGAAAATTTTTAGAGGAAAAATAAAATTACCATTAAGCACATATATTTACGAGGTTATTTAGTAATTTAACATATATCTCGAGCCATTCGACAATACAAAATATGTGCTCGACCTTGACTCGAGTTCGGTCAAATACCCCGTAAATATACAATATAATCAAAATACATTAAAACTTAATTTATTTTAAAAAATGTCAATCAAATGTATGGAGTTGTAAATAATACTAGTTTTATACATATATAATTTTGAGTTGTAAATATTACTTGTTTTATACATATATATTTTCTTTTTTTAAAAAAAATATATTTTGACAAATTTTATGTAAAAATATGAACGTTTCGAATTAATTAATTATCTCTTTGCTAGTTATTATATTCATATACATAATTTCCTTATAAAAAATAACTATTTTAAAATTTATCGTATAAATATTAATATATTTAAATACCCGTGTGCGTGATACACAAGTATTATATTAACAAATAAAAGTAAAACTGGCTAACAGAATCCAAATGCTACAAAAAACATGGGAGATGAGAAAAGGGGGAACACGGAGAGTAACATAGAAGATGACGACCTTGAATACACCACCAGCGACAGCGAGAACGAATGGTTAGACGATATTGAGCACGGCATAATTCGCCCGAATTTCAGCTGTCCAGAAGCACATGCGGCTTATTCCAAGCTCGTCGACGACACCAAGGTACACAGACAATCCTTTTTTGTTACTAGGGTTTGTCCCCCTTTTTGCTCTCTGTTGCTTGTATTATATGTGGCTTGGGTCAATTTCTGTTAAATTAGGGATTGGATCAGGTTTTGTTAAATTAGGTATTTCATTCATGTTTTACAATCTGCATTTGCTTGAGAATGAAATTCGTTAGATGATTAATTTGTCTGTGGTTGATAAGAATCTTGATTTGGTATGTGTGTGTACATATTCTGTAACAACTTTGATACGTGGAAGAAAATCGAAACGCCATTGATATGAAATGCTACTAATTCTTTTTTTTTTTCATGATGAAATTGGGTTTGTAGGCTTTTGATCTCACCTGTTTTCCTCATAGTTGGGTGTGCCACGGCTATGGCATCTATCCAACGTTGTTGTGCAAAGAATATAACGAGGACAACTATAATCGAATGATGGGTTTTGCACTTCTAGCACTCAATAGTATCAATGACCAGACTGCCTACTCCGAGACTGCTGCCACCACCGTATGTATCTATGCATCAGTCCGCATATAACCTAGTTATAATCAACAAATGTTTGTGTATATGTAGGTGATATGAGTTAGTGTTTGTTTTCCTTTCTCTTATATTTTTTGGGCGCTACTTTTGAGTTTCTTGAGATGTTAAGGAATCCATGCAATTTCATTGGTGCGGTTACAATGTGGTATTACTTGAAACTATCTCGATAGATGGAAATTTGGCAGATGGTAATTGATGATAGCTGAGATATATCAAATATTATTAGTATTTTTTTTATTTGTTTCCAATATTATGCTAGTATTGCAGAATGGCAGAATATATAAGTTCGTGGGTATAAACAAGGCCGCTTGTGTGAGGCCTTCTCAGATTATTGTTTCCATGACTGTTGAGGAGATTAGTTCCACTGTTGATGCTCCCAGAACAGAAACTATTGTGGCAGAAATTTATCCTGATCATGGTGCTGCTAAGGATAAAAAGGTTTTAGATTGGATGTTTTATCAGGGCTCGAGTAATGATGAGATGACTGACAAAAATGACACCCGTGTCTTTGTCCTGGCCCCCTATGAGGTTCGCTCTTTTCGTTTATTGACATCTATACGTATATTTTGGATATTGATTTTTTATTTCCTTGTTAATTTAATGTGTTGATCCATTTTTTTCCTAATTCGAATGTTGTGTGTGGATAGAGGGAGAAGAAGAAAAAGAAGACTATACATGAAAAAAGGCAGAACACACAGAGTCGGAGTAGCACTGAGATGGAACATATCGAATATAGTGACGACGACGTCATGGAGTGATGCTAAGTCCTGTCTGTAGCTTGGGATTATTATTACTTATTTGCTTTGGTTTATTTTTGTGTGGATTTTTAGTTATTTATTTATGGTATATGTAAGTAGTAGCGTGGTTGTGTTATCATGTCGGTTACTACAAAGACCCAACAATGATGCTATGTATTTGTCTTCCTAATGGATAATCGAATTTTACGAGCAACTCACCTACTCAGTTGTGTACGCTTTATTACATTGTCTTGAAACTCGTCCCTTGTTTGTATTTCCATTCCCAACAATAAGGCTCGGTTTGGTTGCAAATATATATTGGACTTGATTAATTCTCATTTGACCTATTGATATAATCATGTCCAATAACATGTTTGTTTCAGGACTAATAATGGTAACATTGTATTTTACATAATTACGCTTCATTTATAATATAATTTGCAACGTTTATCCCCCTATATATTAATCCAGAACGCGTTGTGGCTGCTTCTGGTGTTTCGGAATCCTATGTGGCAAAATTAACATGCTTCGTTATTAGGCTTGGGTAAATTTTAATTTAATTCCAAACAAAAAAATAATTAGGTTCAAATTACCATAAATATGTTGATTATTTATGGTCATGTTTTATGTACTAGTACGCACCTCGTGCGATGCACGGAACATAAATATTAAATGAGTTATTTTCACATGCTTTGTCTGTTTAAGTATATAAAACAATAGGATTGTCATCTATTTTTCATCTTTTTTAATCAGCGTTAAGTAAAATAAACAATAAGGTTATAATATTTTTTTCACTGATTTTAATTAACGTTATTTTTTAGTCAAAATATTAAAATATTTAATATATTATTTCACTAACACTTTTATTCTAATTTAAATTTGATTTTAGTATATATATTTATTCCTTGTTATAAGAGAGAATAACAATTTTACTTATTCTTGTTCACCATATAATAATTAATTATAATTTTATTATACACTTTATGTCATATAATGTCATGATTATTTCTACAGTTATAAAAGTTGTATGTCTTCTTTTTATTTTTATTTTATGTAATGAAAAATATTTAATGCATGTTGGTATTATTTATTTATGTAATCAATTTAAAATATGTAAATAAATTTAATATTAAATAATGCATAAATATTTTATAAAATATACATATATTTTTTCAAAATTTAATTTTGTATACTAATTAAACAAATTTGATTTAGAAAATGCCAAAAACCCGATCCCCTCTATGATCAAGATTTTTATAATTCACATTAGAAGGATTTATGGTTTATTTAGTATACTCAGCAATGAAAATATATTTTACAAGAATTTAATTATAGAAATAAATCAAAAAAAAAAATGTAATCATGGGTGCCAATAATATACAAACAAATTCTAAACAACAGTTAATATGTTTCCATTTTAATTTTTTGCCATTAGTAAAACTATTTATTGTATCTAATCATTATCTCTTAAATGTTAAATTATATTAAATTGAAGAACGATTTATTTTTTAAAGTTAACAAAATAAAGCTTAAGAAACAAATATATTGGCAAAGATTAATTCACCAACTTGATTTTGTCTGATTACTTGGAAAAAAAAATTCTACCTACCCTGTTACGACTTTTCATAAATATTTTTGAATAAAAAGTAATATTTGTGAAAAAAAAACTAATATTATGGTTAAAACTAAAAATATGGTGTAATATTATCTTGACCAAAATATTATCAACATGGATCACATAAATCAATCTTGTAATTTATTATAATGAATACAATGAAAGTATTACAAATATTTATGTTGACCAAAATATTATCAACATATATCACGAAAATCAATCTTGTAACTTATTATAATAAATATCAATGAAAATACTGCAGATATTAATAAATTTATTTAAGTAATTATTTGATCATATGTTATTTGATCTTATTTGAAAACGTGTAAATAGAAGCAACTAACGTATATATTTAAAAAAAAATCCAAAAATAGTATGCATTAAATGTTTCCTAAATTTTTGCTACTATTTTTTAGTAAATAGTAATTCTTTATATATATATATATATAGAGAGAGAGAGAGAGAGACAGAGAGAGAGAAAGATTAATTGTATTTTAATATCATTCCTTATTATAACTATTGAATTGTATATATATTTTAAAAGTTGATAACTTTTGTATTTTTTTTTTCAGTTTTACATAGGTAATATATCAAATTAATCTTCTTTTGATGAGCTTCGATTTAACATCCATATTGTATGTATAAAAAAATAATTTATATTTATATTTATAACAATAATAAAATTATTTTTAATATTAATTAGAAAAATAAAATTATTTATCAACTAATATATTTATATTTCAAGTAGTTATATGATATAAGTTATAAAACTAATATAATATAACACATGTAAGTCATAAGTAACACATATCGTTTTAAATATATAGTAATATTTTTTTTTTTTAAAAGATAAACTAAATTTAATATAGTTTTCTCAGTAATTTTAAAATCTAAGAATAATTTTTTTAACATCCACCCGTGTAATACACGGGTGTTGTACTAGTTCTAAATTATTACAACTTTTTCCAAACCTTTCACTCCCAAATCTTTCCTTCTCTTGTTGCTCGCAAAGAACAAACGCGAACAACCTCTTCCAAAAATCAAAATACATATATCAAGTTCTTCTCTTTTTCTTTAAATTCCTTTTATTTCTTTTCTCTTGCACAAAGACCCTAGATTTTGAGCTCATAAAATAATACTGATGTGGTCGTTAATAGTGGCTCAGGAAGAACCGGTTGGGAATTCGGTCATCATTATCATGTGAAGGGGACCGGATAAACATCATGGTAGTCGGGCGGTTGGAAGTGCTCAGCGTCGCATGGTGTTCGGCGCCCCTCAAGTGCTCGGCATTGGAGGTGGCCGGGATGAAGTGACTGGCGCGGCATCATCCGGCATGGCGAGTGCTCGGCGTGGNNNNAATTACTAAAAAACCTAAAAACTACCCAAAATCCCACAAAATTACTAAAAATACATAAAAATAATAATAAAAAAACATTAATAAAAACATAACAAAAATAACACTAACATGGCCCGATAGATAAAATACACAAACTGATTTACTTCGCACCGAAAGAGTTAACAGATGAGTATGGAGTTGCTAGACGCTGCCAGGACAAACGAAGCGAAGTGAAGTCATCTCAGTGTGCAGGTCGTATCTTAAAATCATTTTACCTATTGGACATTCTCGTCCAAGGGAGATTTGCAATTGTACTTGCTAATAAATTAGTTTGTTGTCACTTGTCCTGTCTATTCTAGTTGTCTATCTCTGGGATGGCTTGCAGTGGAAAATTGGTGATGGACATAGTGCTCACTTCTGGAAAAGGCGGTGGTGATATTGTCCATCAAAACCGAGAATAAGCAATATGTGAGGTCACCTTCCCATGTATTGATCTCGTGTGAACAATCTCATCCCTAGAGGACGAGTTAGGAGAGGGAACCAAAGGTTGCTCGACTGAAAGGTACAAACAAAACGAATCGAAGTTTCGTCATAAAGGTTTTGGTCAAGTCCCAAGTTCAAATGAAGGAAAGAGTCTGGAAAACCATCATAGAGGTTTTGGTCAAGTCCCAAGTTCAAATGAAAGAAAGAGTCTGGAAAACCATCTGAGCCCAAAGAACTCTCGTCGTCCATCTCAAAATCTACCCTTTTGATCTCATTTGGGCTTGGGACAGTGGTGAGGTTGGCTTTATGAGCATAAAAAAACGAATTTTCCCACTAGAGAAGATATCTAAAACAGAGATCCCTATGCATATTCAATCTTACTTATATGAGTAACTCTCTCGACAGATTATACGACACTAGAATCAACCTCTCTTTTCTTCATATGGTAGTGAAATGGACTTCATCCGAGCTCCTTGAACTACGTCCTCCATACCTGCAAGAACCCAACGCCGGGGGAGGGGGGGTCCCAGTGTCGGGCCTTCGATGCCCAAGTCAGTACTTGGCAACTGAGATTTTGATCGAGATGAGTGTGTTAGATAGTGCAATCTTCACACTTTGAGTCGTTTTATCCTGGGAGAAAAGGTGTAGTACTCGTTGCACAGTATCGAAGCGTCTGTTTTTTAAAGGCGAACTGATTTTCTGTGATTCAGTTATATGTGTTCTATGGCAATACAGAACTGTCAGTTAAGTTGTTTATTTTTATAGTAAATTTATTTACTAATTGAAATCTGGTTTCATATATCACGTTCATGTGTTTGATGTTTGAGGTTTTTATTTACAATTTCTTAATACGTGTATGTATTGAAACTCGTTCTAAATCTGTCGTTTACAATTTATTCTTACAACATAGTTCACGAGCGTTGTACTAGTTATCATTTAATGAGGATTAATGTGGATTAGGAGGGAGAGAAAGTGTGTCATATTCTTGGAACTTGGAAGTATTCTTGAAAAAGGAAATTGACTAAAATAGTTTTGAAAATATTGGTATAACCTAATAATTAAAAGTGGAAGATTTTAATGAAACAAACGCTATACGTGTCCTTTAGACGAATATTCATATGTAGACGATTAGATAAGGACTAGGCTTAGGTTATAGTATGTATAGTTCAAAACTAAAATTTTGTCGATGATCAATGGTAAAAAAGTTCAAAATCTAAATTTGGTTCCAACAAGATGTTGAGTCAAAATGGGTTGTTGTGCCCACTGAATTTGACAATCTGCCAAAGGAGAAAAATAATAAAAAACTTTGCAGCCCACATGATTTTGAATAGCAGCAAAGAGGAAAAAGTTGTAGCCC